AGAACAAATCTCTCAACCTGCATCACGACACCACACAGCGACAGCTCATACAGTCCTGACCACTCTCGTCAGGTGGGTTCAGCTTCCTCAACTTATGCTGTCTGATCTCCCTAACCAGCGTGTAGAAGGCATCTTCTACTCCCTATAAAACACACAAAAGTTACAGAAGGATGAGTACTTAAACAGTGTATGCACTCCTTATAAATGACATCAAACCTCTCAGCTGTACTTACCATTGAGAGGCTGTGCAACATTACCATAGCAACACTGCTCATTTAAGTTGGCGTTAATAAAAAAAAACATAATGGCAAAAAAGAAGTCATTACTTAATTCTTTAGTTTGAATGACAGATATTCGGCGGGGTTAATGATGAATGTGAGAGTCTGTGTGTACCTACATAAAGTGTGACAGTGAGTCAGAGATAGTGGGAGCTGTGTGACAACTAGTCCTTCTAAGGCCTTTCAAATACTGTAGCTCTGTTCTCAAGCTAAGGTAACCTGGCTATGAGTCATTGCCTGCGGCATGATAAAATGTTCCCAGCAACGCAGACCACATCTTACCATGGGAAATTCACTGTTCTTCATGTGCATGAGTACACATGTAAAAGTTAAGAGTCCGTACAAGAATACCACTGTAACTTGCCGACTACGATGTGTTGCAGCACTGTGGGGCTTAATATCTGAGTTTTGAAGCTGTGTAAGGGACAGGGGGAATATATGTTTTTTCAAGTTATTGTAAATGTGTAAGTTGATAAAGTATATTTTAAATGCAAGAAAAAGAGAAACACAACAGCTTTCTTCCATGGCAATGCATCTACAGTATGTGGGTATGCGCTTCTTGGTCACTGCATACCTGTCGTGTCTTAGCAGAGGTCTCGATATATGGGATGCCATAGGAGCGAGCGAGTTCCTGGGCTTGTCTTGTGTCCACTGTACGTGCTGGGAGGTCACATTTGTTGCCCACAAGCACCATGGGAACATCATCTGAGTCCTTTACACGTTTAATCTGTTCTCTGTGAATTGACAAAGATGGAAACTGCAACAGATGACATTTATTTGCAAAACTTTGCAT